CGGCTGCACTTCCAATTCCCTTCCTCTTACTCCGAGTCACATGACAGCTGTGCCAATGCACTGATGTTTCTTAAAACTGAAGGCAGGGGATAATTATATTCTCTATGAAATTAATTTCACATTTCTAGAGAGGCCCTTACAAAATAGTTGCTTCATGACAGTTCTGGGACTCCTCTTCCTCTAAACTCAGTATGCCCGTCACACACTCACTCATCACTGAAAAGACGACATGAGAAAGCACGTGGAAGCGGAAGTGGGCACAGGCACTGTGAGCCAGAGCAGGCGGCGCAGAAGAAAACGACAAGCGGTCGCAGACTGTTCTCTAACTCTTCTCAAAGGCAAATGAGCACATCCTATAGACTGTTTTTCAAATCTAGGGGCTCGGGATGCTCACAGTAACACTTTTACAGAGTTAAAACGCTGACACATCCACTCAGCGTTGGATTTTCTACTGTGAAGTTCACTTCCTCCAAATTTATTCTTACTTTACCTGGTTTCATCTGTTGAGCCTTTTACTTCGTCGCTAAGCCTGAAGGTCTCTAAAGGTTTGTCTTCCGGAATAGAAGGCAAGGAAGCAGCTGGTAACTACAATAAAAAACAAAGACCTTTCAGCAGTAGCTGTGAGCTCTGTGCTGACCGAAATCTGGCTGAGTGAACGGGCCACAGATGAGGCTCAAACCAAGCCTTCCCCAACCAACTCCCTGCCCCAGGAAGACCGTTTGCTTTAGAAAAGAGATTTTCTGAGTGCAAAGCAGGCTGGACTTGGCAACTGGCACCCTCAAATGACAGGCCGTTTTCCTTTGGGTCACTGTCTGTACTACTAGCACCATTTAAAGTGACAGGTTCTTGAAGCTCATGTGGCGGGGCCTCCTCCTCTTTAGCGTCATGGCCAGCATGGTGAGCTGTGGCCATCCTGCCCACATCATTCCCCTTTGCCAGGCCCTTGGAACCCTAGTCGGACTCTTTGGATGACTGTGCACCATAGAGGACCAGCACGCTGGAGCTCACCTTGGACTTGCCATTTATCACTGGCTTGGAGCAGGACGCGCTTGGGGAGAGTGTCTCTGCTGCTTCACTGTAAATCAACACTGTCAGTGCATTCAGGGTGGATTGTACCGCAGAGCAGCTGATGGCGGTAGGAGGAACAGGCTTGTTAGGGGCCTCCCTGGAATTGCTGTGTTGGTTAGGCTGAGACTGCGCTTGGTGACCAGGCTTGTCCTGAATGCTGATGGTGAGGTTTTGTTCCTTAGGGTGCTCTGCCATCCCCGGGTGGCAGTTAACTCCTGTAGGAGTGTCAGCAGGACTAACCCTGCTGACACGGGGACTTCCATTCGGACTGGCCATGGAACTTCTTGGCCTGGTCCCGTTCAAGTGAGGTGATTTCTGCAAGGAAGAAAGCCACAGCCAGGTCAGCAC